GGAGTAGTAGTAGTAGTAGTAGTAGTAGTAAAGGTAGTCGTAGTGGTCATGTCAGTAGTGGTGCTGGTGGTCGTGGTAGTGGCAATGGTGATGATCGTAGTAGTAGTCGTCGTCGCAGCTGCAGTCGTACTCGTAATAGTCGTAGTCGCAGCTGCAGTCGTAGTAGTAGTAGTAGTAGTAGTAGTACCCGTAGTAGTAGTAGCAGTAGTGGTAGTCGTAGTAGTAGTAGTAGTAGTAGTAGTAGTAGTAGTAGTAGTAGTAGTAGTAGTAGTAGTGGGAGTAGATCTAATAGCAGTAGTAGCCGACGTAGTCGTAGTAGAAGTAGAGAAATCAGTAGTAGTAGTAGTCCTCAGAAGCAGTGTAGTAGGAGAGTAGTAGTTCAAGTCGTGTAGCAGTGTAGTAGTCGTAGAGTAGGAGCAGTCGTAGTAGTAGTTGTGGTAGTAGAAGTAGGTAGTAGGTAGTAGGTCGTAGGTCGTAGGTAGTAGTAGTAAGAGTGGTGGTGGTAGTAGTAGTAGTAGTAGTTGTAGTAGTAGTAGTAGTACTAGTAGTAATGGTTGTCGTCGCAGTGTAGTAGTAGTATTCGTAGTGGTAGTGTAAGGCGTACTAGGAGTAGTAGTAGTAGTAGTAGTAGTCGTAGTAGTAGTAGTAGTAGTCGTAGTAGTAGTAGTAGTAGTAGTAGTAGTAGTCATGGTCGTAGTAGTAGTGGTCGTACTAGTACTGATAGTCGTAGTTGTAGTAGTAGAAGTAGCAGTAGTAGTCATTGTAGTAGTAGTAGTAGTAGCTGTCGTAGTAGTAGTCGCAGTAGTAGTCGTAGTAATAGTCGTAGTAGTAGTAGTAGTAGTAATAGTAGTAGTAGTAGTAGTAGTAGTAGTCGGAGTAGTAGTAGTAGTAGTAGTAGTAGTAGTAGTAGTCGTCGGAGTAGTAGTCGTAGTAGTAGTAGTAATGGTAGTAGTAGTCTCGTAGGAGTAGTAGTAGTAGTAATTAGTAGGTATGTAACGTCGTAGTAGTAGTTAGTGGTAGTGGTAGTGTGAGCATCCAGTTGTATTTTTTTAACAGTCGTAGTATCAGTAGTAGTAGTAGTAGTAGTAGTAGTAGTAGGAGTAGTACTATTTGTTGTATTAGTGGTAGTAGTAGAACTAGTAGTAGTAGTGAGTCTGATGGTAGTATTCGCAGGAATTGTCGCAGTCGTAGTAGTAGTAGTAGTAGTAGTACTAGCCGTATTAGTAGTAGTAGTAGTAGTAGTAGTAGTAGTAGTAGGCACACCGGTTCAAGTAATCCTACTCGTGGTAGTAGTCGTAGTAGTAGTAGTAGTAGTAGTAGTAGTAGTAGTAGTAATAGTGGAAGGAACAAAAGTAGTAGGTGTGGCAGTAACAGTAGTAGTAGTTCTTGCCGAAGTAGTAGTAGTAGTAGTAGTAGTAGCAGTAGTAGTAGTAGTAATAGTGGTAGGAATAGTTCTAGTCGTGAGTAGTAGTAGTAGTACTATAGTTGTGGTAGTAGTAGCAGTAGTAGTAGTAGTAGTAGTAGTCGTAGTAGTAGTGGTTGTAGTAGTAGTAGAGGGGTAACATTCGTACTAGTAGTAGTAGTTGTAGTAGTAATGGTACTATGTGTAGTAGTAGTCGTAGTAGTAGTAGTAGCATTGGTGGTAGTAGTAGTGGTAGTAATCGTATTTGTAGTAGGAGTAATAGTAGTAGTAGCAGCAGTAGTCGTCGTCGTAATAGTAGTAGTAGAAAAGGGAGTAGTAGTAGTCGTCTTAGTTGTAAAAGTAATAATAGTCGTAGTCGTAGTCGTAGTTGTAGCAGTAGCAGTAGTAGTACTTGTTCTGGTATTAGTAGTAGTAGTAGCAGTAGGAGCAGTAGTAGCAGTAGTATTAGTAGTAGTAGTAGTTGTAGTAGTAGTAGTAGTAGTAGTAGTAGTAGTAGTAGTGATAGTCGGTAGTAGTAATCGTAGTCGTAGTAGTAGTATAAGTAGTAAGTAGTAGTTAGTAGGCTAGGATAATGTATATATTAAATAGTAGCAGCAGTAAGTAGCAGGAGTAGAAAGTGCTTGTAGTAGTAGTAGTCGTCGTAGTAAGGTCGTAGGAAGTATTAAAGATAGTAGTAGTAGTAGTATTAAGTATTCGCACGTGTAGTGTGGGAGTAGTAAGTAGTGGTAGTAGTATTAGTAGTATTATTTTAGTCGTACTAGTAGGCAGTATGAGTAGCATTAATAGTAGTAATCGTAGTAGTGTAGTAGTAGTAGTATTAAGTAAGACTATACTAGTAGTGAGTAGTAGCAGTAGTAGTATTAGTATTAGTAAGTAGTTAGCACCAGTAGTAGTTGTAGTAGTAGCGTTTGTATTAGTAGTAGTAGCAATTAAAAAAAAAAAGTTCGTTAGTAGTAGAAGAGATCGTAAGTAGTAGTAGCATTAGTAGATATTAGTATGTATATTATCAGTAGTAAAACAATAGTATCGTAGTAGAGTATATAGGAGTAGTAGTAGTAGTGATAGGAGTATAGTAGTAGTAGTAGTATTACTAGTAAGTAGTAGTAGTAGTAGTAGTAGGATTAGTAGTAGTATTAGTAGTAGTAGTAGTCGTAGTCCGTAGTAGTAGTAGTAATTGTATTAGTCGCAGGAATCAGAGCAGTCGTAGTATTGTCCTTAGTAGTTAGCAGCAGCAAGCAGTAGTATTAATTAGTTATAGTATTATAGTAAGTGTAGTAGTAGTAGTAGTAGTAGTAGCACCAGTAGTAGTTGTAGTAGTAGCCGTTGTATTAGTAGTAGTAGCAGTAGTCGTAGTAGTAGAAGAGATCGTAGTAGTAGTAGCAGTAGTAGTAGTAGTAGTAGTAGTATCAGTAGTAACAATAGTAGTCGTAGTAGTAGTAGTAGTAGTAGTAGTAGTAGTGATAGTAGTAGTAGTAGTAGTAGTAGTAGTAGTAGTAGTAGTAGTAGTAGGATTAGTAGTAGTAGTAGTAGGCGTAGTAGTAGCAATAATGATAGTCGTAGTAGTAGTAGTAGTAGTAGTAGTAGGAGGAGGAGGAGGAGCAGCAGCAGCAGGAGGAAACCCCACCCTCGTCGCCCGGGCCGTGATGCCCTACCCGCCCCCCATCCGAGGAGCAGGTGGCGAATTGCGCGAGGACGGAGGCTGGCTTGGCGGTGGCGGGCGGCGGTGGCGCCGTTGGGGCTGCTGCGAAGGAGGCGCCCGAGGGGTGTCGCAGGATGCTAACCTCAAGTCGGGCGTGTCCCTCTACAGGAGGAATATTCCAAAATAGTCCAAATATACTCTGGGGACATGTTGGGGTATTTGTTATGTTTCAACCAAAGTCCCCCTGTATGGGGGACAGGCCCGACGTAGTGCTAACCCAGAGATGATCGCGCCGTTCGAAAACGCCCCGTATCCATGGGGTTGCGGCCCCGTGGCCGGGGCCTCGAGGCCGTGGATCTGGGCATGTTTCCCGCCCGCGAGCGATGTCCGAGGCCAAGGGCCGCATGCGCCACGTGCTGCCTGCTGCGGACAAGAGACAGCATTGAACCACAGCGGCAGGCAGAGGCAGCGGCAGGCGTTTTTCTTTTGCTCGGCAGTGGAGATCCCAGACGTGATCGCGTCGTAAAACACATCACGGCAGAAGGCTTGGATTACTTTCAGCCTCCCGGGGCCCTCGCTTGGCCCCGGGACCGTCAACAGAGGCGGGTCGGGATGAAGAGCCGAGCCGCGGGGAAAGGGTCGGGGCTCCTGGGGGCAGCGTATATGGAACACATCAGAACGTCGGATGTCTGGGGGGTCCGTGCGGAGCATCGGCCACGCGCAGAGGGGGGTATGGGGGAAGGGGGAGGGCTTCTGAGAAGCACCCCTGCTTCTGAGAAGGCACGGGCCGCGTCTGCAGGTGCAAGGCCGCGGGGCCTTCTCAGAAGCCGTCTCCGTCTAAGAAGCCGCCCCCCCTCCCCTACCCCCTTGTGCCTCGGGCGAAGAGAACTATGCACATGCACCGATCTTGGCCTGGCCCATCCTGGGCCAAGGATCGGTGCATGTGCCTGAGGAGGTTGCGTGAGCTCGTTTTGCAAAGATCGCCTCATTGACTCCGGCCCTTTGGGCCTTCGACGTCATATAGCTTTGCAACGTGATGATATGGGTTTGCGCTGTCAGTATCGGATGAGTTGTAACATCGTGGATGCTGTTTTTTTATTACGCGGCGTCCGATTCGATTTTTCTTAGGAAACCGATGTTGTTTTTTGTTTTTTTTCGTATGGTGTTTTTTTTATTTTCCAGCGCTGCGAACGATTGCCTTGTCAATTGTTTTTGGGGTGGTCTGGCTGAAAGTCGGCGACAGCCTACTGAATAACATGCGCACCCGAAACAGCGACATTTGCACCATGGGCCTCCAGAATCATGGTTCCAAGACGAACCGAACTCAACTAGTGCCGACGCGGGGATGACAAAAAAAACAGCGGCAGCAGCACCAACGTCAACGCCGACGCGACGATGCCGACGGCAGCGTCGGTCGGAGCTGGAGGAAAGAGAAGGATGGGCTGGGCAATGGCAGAGAGGAGGGCAGCGGAGGAGGACGATACGAGGAGGAACCTCGCTCTCACTATCTCGCTGTCGACCACATCGGCTCAAGAAACCGCGAACAGAGAGGCGTCGTGCGCCGATATGCATTCCCCGTCGGCAACCAAGCGCAGCTGTGGAGTAGCCTCAGTACTATCCCCGATGCAACGAGTAGTACTATGTACATGCACTCCAACTCGAAAGACGCCTCCTCCTCCTCCTCCTAGGAACGTCACGAAAACGCTCTACGAAGTATTTACTAAAGTACATGCACTCCAACTCGAAAGACGCCTCCTCCTCCTCCTCCTCCTCCTCCTCCTCTTCCTCCTGCTGTCCTCCATTGTCCCGTACTAATCCAGACATTCGAGTAGCTGCGAGCTCTGGAGACCGACGTTCGGGGAGAGCCCAGACGGTCTGGGCCAGACCACAGGGTCTGAAACAAAATTGGGCGCGGAGTCAAATTGACGGTCCGCATGCTCACTTGTTTGCGAAACACGTCTGCTTCGACAAGCGGGGCTTCTTAGTGTTCTGCTTCTGCCCGCCCGCCGCCGCCGAGTCGCCAGCAGCAAAGTAGTGCGGGTTCGTATCGATCGCTTCGAGGCTCCTCCGCAGGGGGGCGCCCTCCTCCACCCCTGAAGCGATCTGAACCAAACGCGGCTTCTGAAACGTGAAAGAAACATCTTTGCCGAACACTTGGATGGTCATGTGCCAATCCTCGTGATCGACGCGGTGGGTCGCAATCTCAGCGACTACGCTCTCAGCTTTGTCAGCGGACAGCTCGGCGACAAGAGAGGCGCCAGCGCTAGCGTCCTTCGCCTTGGCCTTGCCCTTGGCTTTGCCTTTGGGCATGGCCTTCGGCTTCGGAGCTGGCCTGACCCTTGTCGGCTTGACCAGCCAACCTGGGCAGCTCTCTGAAAGGCCGTACTCGAAATGGCCATAAAATTCTAAAACAATTCGATGCCGCGCGAACTGCCGATAGGAATCAGGCTGGCGCGATTAATGCTGCGAGCAACGGCCTTAGGGACAACGCGGCCCCACAACTCGAAGGATGTCTGGATCGAGCCTGGGCGCTGGAAGATGTCCACCACTTTGGGGGCCCCCTGCTTGTCGGTGCCCAGCTCGAAGAAGACTCCGCCCAAGCCCTTCAGCCAGTTGCCCGACGCTGCGTTCGCGAACACATCGGCCTGGAGCTTGCTGCACAGCAGCTTGGTGACAACGCCGCAGCTGGCATAGTCGAAGGAGCCGTCGCCCTCTGGCGCCGCCTCGTCGGACATGGCTCTCAAAAAAACTGAACTGATATCGATCTCTCCAGGCGCATCGTCGCCCTCAGCTGGAACTGGAACAATCGCCTCAGACTGCCGAGCGCGCTTCTTGCTCGGCGAGTGCCCCACCTTGAGCGTCGACGCGAAGGCCGCCTGGATGCGCCGCAGTAGCGCCGCCTCTGAGGTACCCGCGGCCGCGAGCTCACTGGCAGCCTTATCGTCCACGTGTCGCTGCTCGGAGGCGGCTACGAGACCGCGCACCGCGGCCGCCTTCTCAGCCACGAATATGGACAAGTTCGGGCAAGCCACCTGGTACCTCTCGGCTTCCTTCATGATATGAGCGGTCGAAGCCCTCTCCAAGACGAGCTTGTACGTGTTCAGCTTCATCTGGAACTCCGTGGAGCTATGAGTCTGAACAAACTCGCAGGCGCGAAGAAGCTCCTTCGCAGTGGCCTTGAGGAATGCAATGTCGCTCAGGCCCGATCCGTCCGCGATCTTCAGCAGCTCGTCGGGCGCGGTGCCGTTCGTCAGCAGCGCGTCGTTGACAAAATGCATGAACTCCGACGGCAAGATGGCGCGCATGCAGGCGTTAACGGAGTTGGCGGGCACGCCTTTGAAGGGAATGGCGCCAACGCGAGTGAGAACCAGCAGCCAGTACTTGATCCGCATGGCCCTTCGGGCGCGCAAAAAAAGCTCCCCCCTTTATCCTCCCTGCCCGGCCACCTCCTTCCTCCGCCTCCTCCTCCCCTCCCCCCGCACAGCCCGCAGTCTGGCAGGTTCGGCGGCCGATCCAAGCCCCTGGGCCGAACTTCGGCCCAGGGGGCCCAGGGGCGTGGAAAGGACACCCTCCTCCGCTGCCGCAGCTGGGAGAGAAGAGGAAGGAGGAGTAGGAGGAGGAGTAGGAGGAGGAGTAGGAGGAGGAGGAGGAGGAGGATGAAAGGAGGAGGGGGAGGAGGAAGGGGGGGAGGGGGATGGAGGAGGAGGATGGAGGACGTCGGGGGAGGAAGGGGAGGGGGGGACACAGGCGAGGGCAGGAGGAAGGAGGAGGATGGCGGAGGAAACGAAACTTTGGTTAGCAGGAGTCCTGACTCCCTGACGGCCGACGCCCATCTCCTTCAGCTGCGAGAAATCCGACGAGCAGTTATCCGTCTGGATGGCGGCGCGTAGCTTCTCGTTGGCGCTCAGGAGTTCCAGCTGGCCCAGGGCGGTCACGAGCTCGTCGGATAGCACGAATGCAATAGCTGCCCAAGCGTGGCCGTTGACGATGTCCAAGAGGGTGCTGTCGTTGATGTGCTGCTCTTCGGGCTTCGCCGCGTGGATCTCCGACGTGACCTGCATAAGGCTTGGCGCATTGCGATGGTGTAATCTGGCAAGCAATCGGCGCGGCAAGATCGTTCTGCTTGAAGAAGGCGACCGCGGTCTTCGTCATGGTGACGTTAGCCTCCGTCGTCAGGTAGGTGATCGCGTCGCCCTCTGACCAGCTCTCGATGGTGCGATCGTCCGCATCATCGTCATCATCCTCATCGCCGTCGTCGTCGATGTCGCGATCGGTGACAACCCCGCTCACCGAAGCGGCGTACTTCCTGATGACCTTCCGCAGGCTCGTCCAAGACTTGTACACCTTGGGCTTCCCATCCTGGATGGCGAGGGTCACCTGGCCCTCGAGGGCCGCCGTCAAGCAAATGCCCTTGATGATATCGACCTCGTTGCTGCTCATGCGGAAGACCTCCGAGAATTGGGCGATCAAGCAACCGATCCGCCCGTGCATGCAATCCTGGTTGAGCTCTCCAGACGGGTCCGCCACTGTCTGAGTCGGGCTCGAATTCTGCCTCCTGGCGGTGGAACTGTCCTTCTTCCCCGCCTCCTTTGCCGCAGCAGCAGCCTTCTTCCCCTGCTTCATGATCTCGTCCGAGAGGACCTGCTTGATCTTGTCATTGCTCACTTTGCTCGTGAGGCCGAGAAGCGTTTCCTCAGTGACGTGCTCGACGTACCTCTTCCCAACCATGGTGATGCCGCACTTGTTCTTGCTATGGAGCCGCGGGAGCATGCACTTCAACGCGTCCATGGCGCGTTCGGGGCTTGACCAGGCGAACGTTTTCAGGACCAGAGAGTTGTTCTTGAAGATCACGGCGTTCTTCATCTCGCTTTGGGCCCACTTGAAGTCGCAATTTTGCATGCACCATTTATTGTAGGTAGTCCACAGGGTGGCGTCCTCACCAGTCATCTTAATATTGCTAGCGTCCCGAAAAAAAGGAAAAGCTCCGCTCGAATGATTTGACGTTCACCCAGCGAAGCCCGCCCTTGAACATCTTGCTCACATGGTCGATTTTCTTTGACTCGCACAGACCCTGTCCAAGCGATTTGTTCGTCCAGTGCGCACCGTCCGCCTTCCTCTTCCACGAGGCGTTCGCAAGGATGGTGGAGCGGTAGACTTGCAGGAATAGCATCGCGGCTGCTTCCTCATTCTGTTCGTTGCCCAGGCCAACGACGTAGCTGACGACGTGGTCGGGCATGTCGTACCTGTAGACCTTGCAATTGGCAATGCCTGTCATCACCGAGTTGAGCACCTTACTGTTGTTGCTGTTGGCAGCGTCTTCGAAAGCTTCTTTCAACCCCTCCATCAGAGAAGCCCAGTGCATGAAATACATCTTGGTCTGCGGCGTCACTACCAGCGTATTAGTCTGCGGCCTGCACCAAGCTCCTGAGCGCAATCCAGTGAAGATACCTTTCGCCTCCACACTTGCCTTGCGCTCCTGCACCGTGGCGGCGTCGCCCCTGTCGTTGAGGGGGTCGCGGGCGTGCAGCCATTCACCCTTGCCCTCGGGCTCGCTGGTGAAAGCCAGCGACATCGAAGGGACAAGGAGGTACATCATGTCAACGGCCTGCTGGAGCTCAGCGCCGTCCAAGGTCGGGATCATGTCTCCGATCGCTTGGAATTTCCTTGTGTTGTCGAAGCGATCCTCCTGAGAAATCCCTGCGACCACCTCGGCCACGCTGGCTGTCGAAGGCAGTGGCGAGCTTGACGACGGGCTCGTCATGGCACGTGCCTGGCGCCTCGAACGCGCGGCGTGCGATACCTGTATGCCGCAAGAAGAACGACGATCCGCAAACAGTTGAGCCAAAACGGCTAAGGAGGAGGTTGGCGGGAAGTCACACAGGATATGGTTCTCAAGCGTGGCTCAACATTTCACAGATCACATTCGAATAGGACAACGTGTTCCTTCCTTGTTATGTGTGAGTTGAGCTGTAATGTTTGAGCATGCGGTTCCTTGTTCACTTTGATTGATCATGCGGACCTGTTCGTTTTCGTATCAGCTCTACTGGATTCGTTTCAAGTTCTGCTTAGTTTCGCCAGAAACACAGCCCCATCTAAGGATCCGCGAGGTGAGATTCAAAAGCACGTTTGTAGCACCCCGGCCAAACCAGATCAGAATTGCTTGTCGTCCTGGGCGCCGGTGCACGCCGACCCTATGAGTGGCAATTCGCAAGCATCAGTCCAACGCACCACGCAAATCTGCAATTCCCGCCCCCCGTTTGACATCCAGAGTCCCAACGGCTGACCCCCCTCCCGTTGACTCCAGAGTCAACGCCCCACACCCCCCCCGCTGACTCCCAAGTCAAACGCCACACCCATCACTTTAGACTCCCAGGGACAAACGGCCAACCTCCCCCTTTGACTCCAGAGTCAACGCTAAAACCCCCCTCCTTGACTCCCAGATTCAACTCCAGCCTCCTCCGTTTGAATCCCAGATCAAAACGGGGAGCCCCCAAACCCCCGCTGACTCCCCAGAGTCAGACGCCACCCCCCTCCGTTGACTCCCAGATTCAACGCCGCACCCCGCCGTTGACTCCATAGTCCAAAACCGCCCCACCCCCACCCGTTGAATCCCAGAGTCAACGCATGACGTAGCCGTGCCCTCCCCCCACCGCGTAGACTCCCAGAGTCAAAACGTCACCCCCCACCCGTAGACCTCCCAGAGTCAACGCCGCGAGCGCAATTGATCTCCTTGTAGTCAACTGGAGAGGTGATGTTGTTCGTATTATACACCATCAAGTAAAAATTGATAATTTTAAAATTTTTAATAATGATGTAAAATTAAGATTTTTTTTCGAGTTATAGTCGACTTACTCCGAGGTCCAATGTCAGAGGCCTTCTCTAACAGACTTATTGGTCAACGCACTACCACGATTGGCAACCCAACGCCTGCGGACTGGACGACCGGGCTAATGACGAGAGACTTATATACGAAAATTTCCAAAATCAGCCAGCTGCGAGCCCCGACGGCACAAGGAATTAACGATGGCGGTTTCGTTGACGCTGGTCTCTTTACAAGGCAACTACATGACTTTATTCAATTCGGTGGCCAACTCTGACTGAACTTCCCGTCGGCAGGCAGAGTGAGAAACTAGAAGCTCGCGCAAGCGGCGCACTGAAACGTTGTGCCGCGATCGTGGCATGACAAGCCAGACTCCTGAGCGCCATTGATGTACGCTAGCGTTTCGTTGCATTCCAAGTGCCAGCCCCTCAAACACTTGCAGCACACGAACCTCGAGGCCGACTGCGCTGCGGCTGGGTCGCCAGCCCCATGACTAACAGCAGCGACGCTACACGCCACGCAAAACACGTCTGAAGGGCCAGCATCTAGTTTTGCCTCCTCAGAACGCCTCAAAGCAATGACCCACTCAGGCAGCTTATCTCGGGCACCTGCTGAGCTCGTGCGCAATGACATTCCTATGTCAGGTACGACAACAATGCTGGAACTAAAATCCCTGGGCGCAAACAAATGAAAGACCAACCTGTCAAAGTCATCTATCTGTCCGAAGCGGCCCCCCTACTTTCGAAGCGGCGTCCTCCCACCTGATTAACAGAACGCACCAACCAGAGCATTCAAGGCCCACCCCCTCGCCCCACCCACGCCCCTATCCCATAAATCAAAAAATACTCGAATAATGAAGCAGTAAAGTAGTAAAATAACAATCCCCAACCCCATTATTAAATAAGTACTCACAAAAATCCTAGTTACAACTAATCTATAAAATGCGCCTAGATTCCCACAGGATGTAGGTCTGAAAACTCTCTCCATCTCACGCTTCCTCCGCAAGGGCAACGCCGTCGAACCCATTGCGGCACGACTCCAAAACTTCATCGACTACGACCTCAAGGCTATCTACATGGAAAGTGGCATGAACAAGAACGAATGGGAGTTGGGACAGGCCGCCGTCACCAGCAGTTGGCAATGCACCAGCGCCGTCGACATCGGCAGGCTCGCCCGAAGGATCACCGTCTTCCAAATCGTCAGCGCCGCCAAAACCCAAGTCTACATCGTCGTCGCCCATGATATCCGCCAGCCACTCTCCTAACAAGTCGTGGTCGTCATCGTCAGCAGGCACGTCGAATAGATCTGCATCAGCTTCGCCCCCCTCGTCACCAGCAGTCGGCGCATCCTTAGGCTTCTTCGCCTGAGAGGCCAACCTCGGCCTGACAGTTGATGCGCTGCGAGACGTGATTCTCCCATGTGGCCAAGATGCCCATCGCACTGTGAAGACATTAATCTTAATGTGTTGCAGGCGGTGCCTCTCAGCCCTCAAGACCTTGACGAGCTCCGCGGCAACCTTGAAAGTGCGCAGCGGCAAGCGCAGCGAGACGTTGTCACCCTCGACCTTGCACTCAACGCACCAGCAGGTGGTGTACAAGCGCGCGCCGAGAATGAACGGCTGCAGCTTGAACGGCGGGCCGACCGTCTCCCTCTTCACCTCTACCGCGAACACGTTGCGTGCGTCGATGACGCAAGCCCGCGAGCATGCTGCTTGCACGCCCCTTGCCTCCCTGCCAGAAATGTCGGTCAAATCGTCGAAAGTGTCAGGCGCCGTCGTCGCCGCCGCTGGCGGGCGGCCGCCGGCGATGGGCACTGGGGGCGCTGCTGCGGCAGCGTAGGGGCCAGCAAGTGACCCATCCATGGTGGCCGCAGATCTGCTAGCGTGCTGCGGGGCATCTCGAAGCGCAAGGGCGTCTGAATGAAGTGCCACGCACTCACGCACGGCAGGTGTTTCACCCAGCTTCAATGACAAACGATCGCTCGCCAGTGGTATGTGTATGCCAGGGGCGCGCCTGCAAATCGTTTGCAAAACGCTGTTGGCGCCCTCGACCTTCTGGGCATCGGTCCTCCACGCCGATCTGACCGAGAGAACCGATGAATGCAATCGAGCGTCGCAAAGACCACTTTCGGCCATATCAACGAACTCCCGCCTGTATCGTGCAAAAAGCTTCATCGTCAAGTCACAGTTCGGCTGGGCCAGACATACATCGCCATGCGAAGACAGCTCAATCACCATCGCCGCTACGCCACGCCGACGCTCGCAGACATCGGTCGGGCCTTTTTCCACGCAGAGCAAAAGAAGAGCTGGGAATGCAGATGTGCGGGATATGATCCTCATGTCCCATTGGCACACAGCAGAGCACACCAAGGTGATGCCCAATGCGCGGGTGTCTGCCTCCATCCCTTGAGGCACCGACCCCCGGACGGAATCCCACACCATGGCAGAGCTCTCTGAAGAAATAAGTTTGTTAAACTCGTTCCGAAGCTCGGCCTCCTTGAATGCGACAAGCTGAGACATCACGGTTGGCCCCAGATAAGGGCCGCCGCAGCTGGTAAAAGCAGGCTCACAGCGCTCGTTGAACAATGCAGTTTCTTTCTGGACCCACAGGAAAAACCTTCGAAGTGGATTTTGGGCAATGGTAGACAATGCCACTTGGATAAGGAACCCCGCATCTGTCAGGGCATTCACCGAAAGAAGTTTGAACTGTCTGGCCTCGCTCCGATGCTTCGCCGCCTCGTCTTCCAATGGCCGCTTGGCAGCCTTCTTATCATGGGAAGACCTCGCCTTCTCGCCGAAGGCGGCCGCGAAAACAGCCCCGAGGCACGCCCTGCCCGTCGTGGCGACGTGCTCAATCGAGCCGAGTGACCCCCATCGTGTCCTGATCGCTCTGCCAGGCGTTCGGCTGCACATGAGGCTGGCGGTCTCCTCGTCGAAGCACTCAGCGCAAGTATCCCAAATGATTCGACCACCCCCTGGCATCCTCCAGGTGTTCGCAATCGCAGCGAGCCTCGATGCATACTTGAATGCATCCTCTCCGCCCAGCTCAAAAGACTCCATGACTGTGTAGAATGCGCCCATCATCAAAGAGTACTGGTGCAGCAGACAAAACTGTGATATCATGGCAACATTGGGAACGTCGCTGAGATAGCGCACAATGGCCTTGCCAACCGCCACGTTGTCCGCAGCGCTATCTAGCATCATGATGAATACCCTGAAATACGCCAGCGGTGGTGGTGGAGAAACCCACGATGGACAACTGACAGACTTGAGCTGCTTCACAATGATCTGTTCGAGCTCCACCGCAGTTGAGGCCCGAATAACCTGCAAGTCGCAACAATACAGATGCGCTACAGCTGGCAAGCCTCCATGCATAAACGATGAAAACACAAAGCCCACCTGCACCTTGGATTTCTGACAAGCATCTTCGTTCGTGGCGTCTCCCATGTACGCGTGCACCTCGCATCCAGCTTCCATGTCTTCCACAGGGATCATGTTGACGTACAGGTCGGATGAGACATAACGCTGCACCAAGCATGCCGCATGCTCGAATCGCACAACTATGCTTTTATCCCTGAGTCCTCCGCGCTCTGCCTCGCCGCCGAGAATGGCGAGCACCGACGCACACGATGTATGTCCATGCAGTTTTCTCTTCAGGGCAAGCGTGTACCCCCCAGGCAGTGATACTGATCGCTTCCCATGTCTCAGGTTCAAGACTGCCTTCAATTCAGAAAGTTCAGCGTCCTTGGCAGCGGCTAATTGCAAGGCTTGGTTGCGCTGGGCTTCGGCGATGCGAAGGCGCTTGACCAGGCGGGCTCGGTCGGCCTTCAGCTCGGCGTGCATGGCATCACTGATAACCAGCTGCTCTCTAAGCTCATCCATGGTGGCCGAATGATCAGAGTACTTCGCCAGGGCAGCCGATGAACGATCGCCAGCGGAGCCG